ATGATTGATTATATAGAAAAGCTCTAAAATCTTATTCTTATACAGAAGTGTTCTGGCCTTCACACTAACGGATCTACCACATGCTGTAGCTGGAACCACCTACAGTAAATCTACCCAGTAACACACGCAGAACTGGTCATTTTTCTCGTTTATCTCCCACATAGCTCCACACCAGTGATATTATTGATCCTAGGATCATGTCTGGTGTTCCATACTTCAAGGCCTAATGGTTTCAGGCAGACCTGGTGCATGGTTGTATACAGTGCCTATAGTAATTGTCAGATTCCCAGTACAAGGGTTTATACTTTAAAACATCTTCTAGTGATACACTTACACACCAAACAGGGTTTTGTAAGTGTTTATAAGGTCTGGTACAGGAACCCATTCACAATTGAAAAATTACCCTGCATTTTCCCAATTTTAGTCTTTATTTTCACAATTGGATTATAAAGTCTGTTTACACAAGTTTCCAGCTGTTACTGTTACAAATATGTGCAGCATTCAAATTGTAACTGTCCATGAAGGAGCATTCAAAACACATAACAGCAAAATTTTGAAATTGAATAAACAAAAACCACTGTAATTGTATGTGTTTATTTATTGCTATACATTTTACTGTAATAAACCTTTATAGCTAGAGGAAATCTTTTTACTACTCACATGGCAGGTTTTCCTTTTTGTCGAACTTACGATATTTTTCCAAACCGGCGGGTACATGTATGTGAGTTTAGTATTTCACTGATGAAATTTTCGTAATTCCTGCTCAGGGGCCTTTTCCCAAAATGGCTGGCAAAAACCCTGTCACACCCACAGTTTAAATTTGTAGAATAATGAGAATGTAACTAATTATCATTGCAACCAGACAACATACTAGCCAACTCTCCCTTTATTTTAGGGAGACCCCCAATTTTGGACCCTAAAATTTATCATTTACAATTTGTGAATTTACTAAACTATTCTTGTATTTTAAGATTTAATGGATTCATCTGAAAGAACATCACAACTCAAACTATTTCATTTTAAAAGTTATTTTGTCTCTAGGGGATAATTATAAATATACACACACTTTATTTATGTTTTCAATTTTGAGCACACAGAATATTAATCTCCTCCATGGAAATTTCAAAAATTTGGCAAGTATATATAAATAGATAAACAGTACTCATGTCTTGCAAAGTGATCATTACGGGGTCCAAAGTAGTGACAGAAATATGTATTTAATAATTTATTGAAGATTTTTCAATATCATTATTAAGGCAATACACTGTGTCTAGCTTTCTATTGTATGATTCTAATATAGCAAAATGTTGATATCTACAATGTTTGTGTAGCTTTTTATGATACGTACAGTAAAACCTTTTTATACTGCCATCATTTGTCTGGACACATATGCATGTTGGCATTATAATGGGTTTGGCAATAAATTGAGGGAAAAGCATCAATGAATTCCTTCGAGAACAATTTAAGGATCTTAAATTATGTTGGCAGTAAGCAATTATCAGCAGGGTAAGGGGCAAATACAAATAATAATTGTAGTCAGAAAATTCATTAATTTTCAATTCTTTTTCTGTGAATCTAGCTCCGGCTGCATATGAGGTTATACACATGTATAAAGGTGTTATAATTTAGAATTGACAGTGCCTGAACCTCAGCATGCTCTTACAGCCTGGCTGCAGTAATGGGTCCGACTACTTGTGATAACAGCAACTAAACATGTCTGACTTGTCACTGCGATCAAAATAATTGTTTTAATCTCGTGCTTCTCAGAGCAGCCCTTGGTCGGAGTATTGATTGTTAGCTGCATCGAAGTTAATATTTTATGTTTGCATACCGAAAAAAAAGTAAAATAAAGAGCAACCAGCGAGAGATATTCCTGTGGGAAGTCGCGGCAGCCACAAAGTGTTCTATAGAAATTATTGAGGTTATATATATATATATATATATAGAAAAAATAAAATTAACGACCGACTAAAAAACTAGCTGCTTTCACCCTTCACAGGGCTCTTCAGGTTTATTCAAAAGAGAACAACGTCGTGACGTCACAATTACATGTCATCACACTACAATAGTAACGTGACGTCACGAAGTACACAAGATTGGTGGACAATTTGGCGTAAAATTTTATTGTGGCCTGTTGAGACTCGGTTTTAATATTTTTATTAGTTGGTCTTCTTTCGTTTCTCTTAAAATAGTGTCTGATGAAAATAGTTGATACAAAGGTAATACATTAAATTTATCTCCAGCACATTCATGAATATGTTTGTTAACATGAAGATTTCGTAAAGAATCAGTTCTAGTTTGTTGTCTATGTACAGTCATACGTGTTCTGAGTTCATTACCGGTTTGACCGATGTAAAAATCACCACATTTAGAACAAACGATTGCATAAATTACATTTTTTGATTTACAATTCATATTTACCTTCACAGTAAATTTCAAACCATTCTTGAAAATAAAAGTATTACACTCGATAATCATAGGACATGTAGCACATCTTGGTGTCTTACATTTGGATACTTTTGGTGTTA